TCTGTTAAACTTATTTCTGTGGCTTTGCAGCAAGTTCTAATTTGTGAATTTGAATTCTTTACCCTTGTATTGCTTTTTCAGATTTCTTGGTTATTTGACTTTTTCACATTTCTGTATGAATATTAAGAACAGCTTGTCAATTTCTGTAAAAGAGCAAGCTGGATTTGCATATATAACTTTAATACTAATAAGATTATTCATCTTTAAATATATACTACCTATAAAAATTACAAATCTCTTCTTTAAATTTTGTAAAGATTTTTCACAGGATAAGTCAAAAAAATGACTTGTCTGATAAAAAAGAGATTGTATCTGGTAGAGGTGGGTGTACAGATACTTTCTGAGGCAGTGTTAACTTTTCAGCAGACTAGAGAGGAAGTTATTGAGATAGGTAAGTGCAGGAGCAATGTTACAAAATGGGAACACAGAAGATGCTAGCATGGACATTGAGGGGGATATAGATATTTTCCATAAAAGATGAGTATTCACTCCAATTTTGTATTTTAAGGTTGATGATGGGAACTGAGTTAAAAAAAAAGGTTTACAAGGAGATTTTGTATCATCAATCACTGTTATATTTATGTGTTCACATTTTGAACATTATTGTACACACTGAAAAAATAATCATAGTGTATCTAAAATATGAGTAAAAGATGAATTTGTAAATATCAAATTTAAAGGAAATTATATCTGAGCTAGGGTTGGTAGGAAAATTAATAACTGAAAAGTCAAGCATATAGTCACAAAACATTGTTAAAGAGAAAAATAATCTATCCTGTTACATCTTAAGGAATAGACATTTTTGTCTACATGTTCTAGTCACTGTGACAGGTGCCCAAAAGAACTAATACACCAGTCTACTTAAAAGTAGTTCAGTACATGGAACTAAAAAGTAGCCATGCGGAATGAAGTTCAGATACACTTAGGAACTCTGGAGTTTTCAATGTCATAATCAGTGCTGTCTTTGAAAAAATCATTTATTCATTTGTATGTTTACTTCCCTTATTTATTGATGCAAATTGTTACTGACTTCCAATCTGATTCCATCCCTAATTAAGCATTGGGGAAAGAAGAGTGAGATAATTATTGCTAAGAGTCCATTAGAATAAGAGTCCAATGAGAAATCAGAATGAGGGTATTTAATTATAATACAATATGACAATATTTATAATAGAAAAATTCCTAGGAGCATGGAAGAATAAATGGAAGGAAGGAGGAGCAACTTTCCTGGAGACTGTCATTGAACCGGCCTTGACAGGAAGTTACTGAGGTAGGTCAGCATGGGAACAGGGCTCAAAAGAAAGTGCAGCACATCTTTGCACAGAAATGTGAAGGACTACGAGGGCGAGGGCGTTCAGGAAACCACAAGCATTCACTAGAGCTGTGTTAGGATTGATGGTGCAAAATGAGCAGAAAGTGGTAAACAATGAGATTAAGGAGGATTTTGTGTGCCTTACAAAGATTAAAATTTAATCTTGTGGCGTTACACTGTGAAATTTCCACCATGTTACATAATCAAATTTACTTGAAGGACCCTTCTGTTAGTGGTGTGGAGGGTAGATCAGAGATGAGACAGACCCAGGGCAGCAAGATGGAAAAATAGGAGCTGTTGCAGCACAAAGAGGGTAAGATGTGATGAGGGACTCAATTAGACCAGCAGCAACTGAAGTGTGGAGGTAGACACAAATATGAGACAGACAGAAAAGGCAAGTCCATGAGACTCAATGATCACATGGGAGCATGAAGGGAAGACAGGACGTGAAGGAATTAACCTGTTACAACTAGTTAAATGTTTGTGCTTCCCTAAATGTCATTGTCAAAATCCTAACTCCCAAAATGAGTTTGAGGAGCTGAAGCATTTGGGAGATAATTAGGCTGCAAGAGTGGAAACTGCCATCAATAGGATTGAGCCCCTTTGAAAGGGTCCCCAAAGAGCTCTCTCTCTCTCTCACCTTCCTTTTCACCACTTGAGGGCATAACAGATAGCAGTCTACAAGCCAGGAAGATGGCCACCACCTAAACTGGATCATGCTGGCACTCTGATCGCAAACTTCCAGCCTCCAGTACAGTGAGAAATAAATCTGTTTAGAAGTCATACAGTCTATGACACTTTGTTCTAGCAACTGAACTAAGATACCTACTAAATTTTCAGTTTTCCTGTTCCTTAAGAATCCAAAGAATGATCTTTATGTTTTTAGTGCATCTACAATACACATTTAAGTACACTAAATTACAGAAGAGATAGGATATTACATTATTCTCTTGGAGATAAGGATATTACACAAAATGCAAAACATTTATTTTCTGCCTTTCCTTAAACTAAATCACAAGTTTAAGTCAACACATTTGGAGACAGTGATGCACTCAGGACAAAATGAACTCAGTGCTAATTTTTATTATGATTTCAAAATGCATGCAAAGATCACTAGATGAGAGATGAAAGATAGAAAGGAGAGGTAGAAATGAAAAATGTAGATAGAAACACCTGTCTTATGGTAACTAGGCCTTCCTCTTTGCTTTTAATAAAAATCGCTATGCAAAACTGGTTCATACCTTAGTGAAAGGACAAACCACAGATATCATATGCAAAAGAGGGTCCAAACAGTCAATAGTTCCTGGACTTCTAAGAAAGTGAGTCACATATTCTATTAATGCATTATTTTTATATTAATAAAATACACAAGAAGAACGGTGAATAAATTGGTCATAATGCAGTTAGTCCTGAAAACAGCATGTGGAGTTGTCACCTTTATAGGGTCATTTCTTTTGACTATTAACATTTTACAATAAAAAATAAATAAATATTAAAAACTACAAGGGAAATAAGATATCCCATTCAGTGGTTTAAAATGATGGATTAAACACAGCTAAATACATTAATTACCGAAAGACTTCAGAGTCTTTACCAAGCTAGTGAATTATAAATAGTGAAGCACAGTGGCCTCTATGTGGCTGGAACAAAAGTATGAAAAGGCTAAGGAAACAAGACAGAACACATGCTTCTTTTGTTTATATTTGTATGTCATGTGGTAGAAGGCAGGCTAGGTCTGCATGATGTCAAGATGCATAAAAAGGGTACTTACTAGAACAGCAGTCTGTAGGCAGCATGGGTCTGATCACTAAGGTGAGGATGGGTGCAAAAAAGGTTAGTCCTTCAGATGAATCTATGCCTGGAATTGAGGAACTGCATCTTGAAGTGTGCTACGTAAAATATTTTAATCCATATACCAAATCAACTTCTTCTCACCTGATTTAATAACTGCTATTGAAAACGAAGACAGGAGCAGAGATTTATGGGCCTTTTCCCCACCGCATATTATCATATAACCTATCACTAAGTATTTCTAAGTCCACATATAACTTTAATGTCAGGTTCAATTTAATCTACCAGACATTATTATTAAGCTTGTGAAGAAAAGAAAAGCACTGTTCAAAGGCACTAGAAAGAAGCATCAGGTGGGAGCCTCAGCAAAAATGGTCCTTTTATAACCTTTCTTTGAAACTGCATATATTTTTGCATAACAAAAATCATAGTAACATAAAACTTTTATCAGTTTCATTGTCTCAGAGTCCAAGAGATAAAACTTTCACACACACACATGCACACACTGAGTTTCACCCCAAAATAGCCACATTCTTTTATTTGATGAATCAATACATTTTTAATTCAAATAGTCACCACATAACCTAGGCATAATATTAAGCATTTTACAAGCAGAGTGTTTTACTGATTTTCTTTTCAATTGCAAAAGGGTACAATAAGTGAATTGGTTAAAGGATATACTTCTGTACATAAAAATATCCA